TCAGGAGGACGTCACTTGCATGTGCTCTGGGCGAGAGGCCCTGTAGTCGCCCTTCTGCACGCTTAGGTGTTTCTGTAGTGACGGTGTGCTTTACTGCTTCGCCGAATGTGGTGTGCGCATCCCCCTTCCCGTCGGATAAATCGAAGTCAGACGGCGAACCAAGCACTCCAATACAATGAAACCTCAACCTCAACGATGGAAACGCAATCCTCTGTCCGCCTCCTCCTCCGCTCTTTTTTGATTAAGGGCTGCCTCCCCCTGCTTGCGCTCCTGCTGATCCTCTCCTCTCCCTGCTCCTCCCCCCCCATCCAGCCGTTTTGGCGTGAAACGTGATGTGACAATGTTGTGTGACACAATATCGCCGGAGAGATTAAACAGAAATTCAGGGCAGAGAAAGCGTGCTCTTCATTGAAGTGGAGTGATGCTGCAATGTTGCCTTCCCTCGTCAGAGTCGCGAGGCCGCGGGAAATGGAAATGCCCTTGAGACCTGCAAAGGTGCTCAAAGGACCCCCCCAGACAGTCAACCCGTAGAGTAAGGATGCGCGATAAGGATGCAAGGCCCTTGGAAGCCCATTTCGAAGTTTTCGAGCGGGGCGCGACCAACGAAAGTGGCCAAGGATGCACCAAGGAGGCAAGGATGCAAGGGTACCTTTAGGAAGGTTGCCCGTCCTTACTATGCGGGTTGACTGTAGGACTCCCTCATGAAACCCCCGCCATTGTGCAAACATGTGGCTGGCATCCCGGCGCGGAGACCGCCCGTCTCCCTCTACACCTCTACAGTAACAGATGCAATCTTACAGCGCAGAACACTTCCGCGCCCCGAAGGCGCATTCGCAAAATCAGTATATTGCTCGCATGCGGAATCCACATCGACATTGAGTATGATGCTGCGTGCATGTATTGTGGAATCAAACATACAGCTTGAAAACCTGAAGAGGACATCTGGACAGTATTTGGCAACATGTCTCCTCTCCGTTGATCGCCATGCGCAAAAATGTGTTGCAAGACTCCACGCCGTTCACCGATTTCGAAGCGCCCTCCGGCTTAGCCTGATATAGGGCGAGTAATTGGAGGTGCAAGCCTGAGGGTGCCCGCCCAGCGCTGGCGCAGCTCAGCGCCACCTCACTCGCCAGGCTCCGCGTGCCTGACCATCACATGCCACAAGTGCATCAAGATGCCCCCGAGACAGTCCAAGAGGGCAACCGATCGCCAAACGTTCGTTCCAAAATGCTCTCACACCCTCCAGATTGCCCAAGAGGCCTCCAATACGCCCCAAGAAGCCTCCAAGAGTGCTCCCAAGAGGGCCCCAAGAGGCAAAACTAATTGACGTTCCTTGGGTGCTTGTTTAAGGATTTGGGCGTTCTCGCCTTTTCCTATTCCCGCCGCTCCAACACGGCCCAGAAGGCGTGCCCAGACGGGGGACCGAACGGACATTTCGAGCCCTCGGCCCCGAGAGGCTCCAAGGAGGCCCCGAGAGGTTCACAAGATGTCCCCAAGAAGCCCCAGGAGGCCCACAAGAGGTCCCCAAGACGCCCGAAGAGGCCCCCAAGCGGCCCCCAAGAGGCCCCCAAGCGGCTCCCAAGAAGCCCCACAACTCCCCACCAGAGGTCCCGAGAGCCTTCCGGAGAGACCCCAAGAGGCAACTCTGAGGACTCTGGCCAACGTCAGTGTCGTCATCGTCGCCGCCGCTGTTGTCGTCGTCGTCGTCCCCCTTCAGGGTCGCCGGCACTAGCCGTAAGGCCTTTGCAACAGTAGAAGGTGCAAGCCCGAGGTTGCCCGCCCCGCTCTGGCGCAGCTCAGCTCCAACCCCCTCGCCGGGTTCCGCGCGCCCGACGGGGCACCTCCGATCCACGCTGCGCCAGCCTGTCACATACCAGGCGACCCTTCATCACGGGACGGTGTGGATATACTTTTTCCCCCAGGGCCCAACATATCCACATTCACTGCCTGCCGTACCAGAGGCGGTGGTGATGGATAAATCCCCGCCTCGGAGAGGAGGGGGAGGATGGAGGAGGAGGAGAAGGAGGAGGAGAAGGAGGAGAAGGAGGAGAAGGAGGAAGTGGAGCAGAAGGATGCGGGACGCCGAGGGAGAACGACGAGGGAGGACGACAAGGCGCCTTGCCCTTGCCCTTCTCGTCGCCGCCGCCGTCGCCGCCGCCCAGCGCGGGGCGCGACGGCCGCATCTTGGTGAGGGTGGAGGGTTGCACCTCGGTGACGGGCGGCTGGGGGGGAGGGGACGATCCGCCCTGCCGGCTTCCGAAGGGTATTGGTAAGGGAGCAGACGAGGGGTGGCCTGCGCAGTCAGGCAGCCCTCGTCATCGCCACGCTCGACCTGGCGAGAGGTCGCCGTCAGCACCGCTCGACGTGCCTCCACGACGTCCCAACTGGTGGCGGGCCCCTACGCGCAAAGCATGACTCGGCATGCAGGCAGGTTGGTTACCAGCCGGGCAGGACCTCACGATGACAACATTTGAAGGGCGGGTAGGCGAGGAGGAAGAGGAGGAGGAGGAGAAGGAGGAGGAAGTGGAGCAGAAGGATGGAGGACGCCGAGGGAGAACGACGAGGGAGGACGACGAGGGGCACAGGCGAGGAGGAAGAGGAGGAGGAGGAGGAGGTTAGGGTGGGGGAGGGATCGAGCGTCCGAGGATCCAGGGCCTGGGCTCGAAGGTCGAGGTTGGAAGATCAAGGTTTTCATTGGCGTTTTTGGACCTGCCGGGCGCCCTCCTGGCCGCGGCTGGTCTTTCTTCGAAGTTCTGGCCAGGACGAACCCCAGGAGACCTGGGGGGTCGAGGCTTGAGAGGAGACAAGGAGGCTCCAGAGGAGGGGGAGGAGGAGGAAGAGGAGGAGGAGGAGGAGGAGGAGGAGGAGGCGGCGGAGGAGGAGGAGGAGAAGGAGGAGGAGGAGGAGGAGGAGGATGGGGCCAGAGCCAAACCAGAAAGCATCAGCGAGGCTGCGATGTGGCCTCCCGTCCTGATGGCTGCGAGCGCCAAATGAACTCCCTTGAGAGACGAGCACCCAACGTATCCGTCGTTCCGGCGGGACCCCCGCTTTGGAAAGGGGCTTCCCCGAGCCATCCCAGTGAACACTCGGGAATGAGAAGAGGCGTTGTCAGAAAGCTCAACGAAATGTCCGGCGGGATGTCGTTTCGAAAAAGAGCCGTGTTAACCATCCGTCTCACTGCAGCACAAGTTTGCACATCTGGCAAGGGAATCACCCGAGGAAGTCTCACGCGACAACCCCAATGTAGGAAAGGACCGCCCTCCATCCGCGAAGCTGTTCCATATGTCCGAGCTCCTGGTTTTGAAATCCGAGGGTGTCTCAAACGAGGAATCCCACTCTGAAAAGGAGCAGTCCTCCGTCCTCGCAGGCGCGCCAAAAGTCGAGATCGTCAATTTGAGCACAAGTCGCCCTCCACCCCTGAAGCTGTTGCACACTGTGAAAGCGAGTACGCACGGCACGAAAGCGGGAGAGAGCCCCACTCTGAGAACGACCCACCTCCGTCCATGTTGTAACCGCTGAGAGTTTATATACAACACGCGCGCGCGGCGCTGAGGCGAGAGGCTTGTAATGAACCTGGCACGACCCCCTTGAGGGGAAAGCTTCCTACTGCACGGGCGCAGTGCTTGGCATGGCTTGGCATTGGCTGCCCGAGGAACCCGAGGAACAGTTGGGGAACACGAGGAATGCAGGAACCTGAAGAACCCGATGGATCTCCAGGGAACGGGCAAAGTAGCACCCTGAGGCACAAAACTTTGACCAAGTAACAACCTTTTAGGCAAGCCGAATTGGGAAACAATAGGCGGCACCAGAGGCGGGGAACCCGAGGAACCCGAGGAATCTCCGGGGAACGGGCAACGTGCCCCCCCGAGGCACCATTCTTCTTAACCGAGGGAGAACTCCTCAGGCAAGCAAAATTGGAGAAACACGCCCACCCTCATGCCCAAGGGCCGCTGAAACACATACAATGCATCAACTTTCGTAATTATTGAAAAAAGTCTGTGGCCCCCAGCCAGGCCCTGGGACCGTAACACAAGTGCTCAGGATGAAGAGGCGGTCCCTAGGAGGGGACCCATACACGTCGTTAAATTCTAATCGTGCTCATTTCTACTTGTTTTCGTTTCTAAGTGTTCCTGGCCCCCTTGTGGCCAGGAAGAGGCCCAGGATAGAACAATTAGAAATGACAGGATTTTGGCCCCCCAAAAAATCACAGAACTTCCGAATAATTGAACATGAACCATGTGTACTCGGGATGGGAAGCCAGCCATGGGAAAGAGGTTGAAGAGATCCCGGGGCCCGTGTACGGAAAACTCTATGCCCCAGAGGTCTGCGACGCAAGAGTGACCCTAGGCAGGAATGGCCCTTTGCGCGCGGCTTGCCGACCACTGCACCTGTGACCCCCGACCCGCACGAAAGCCCGCGCAACAAAGGTCACTCTGGCAAAGGGTTACTCTCACGTGCAGCCGACTGGGGTGGTTTGCTATGACTTGGCGTGGCTCGTACAGCAGGTTCGTGCCTTTCCGAGGAGGACCGGGCGGTCAATGAGGCGGCGGACCTGCTGGCCAGGGAGGCTGCACCTTGCCGCTTGTCGCCGCCCGTGCAGGTCAGCGAACGACTGCGGCGGCTGCAGGCGCTGGAGGCGGTGCAGCGCCTGCTCGCCGCCGTGGAGCTGCCCGCGGTGAAGGCGAACCACAGCAGCGCCGGCGCTGACAGCCCGCGCGTGCGGAGACGTTGGGCCCCTGCGGGGCCCCGCCGCCGCCGCCAGGGACGACGCGGCCGTCGCGGCCGTCCCGGCCGCGGCTGCGCCGCCGGCTGCCCAGGGCGCGCTCGCCGATGTCCACCAGCGCCCAGGCGCGGCGGCCGCAGTGCAGGAATTGGTCGGTTGGCGCGGCGTGGCGGGCGCACGCGGCCTCGCAGGCCTGGCCTGGGTGACCTGCGTGGTCTGCGGCGGGCTGGGCGCGCCTCGCCAGTCGCCCCTGCGCAGGATGGGCCCCGGCGCTGTCCCCGCAGGCAGCCCGGCTGCTTCAGCTGGGGGCCACGCGCGCCAGCGGCAGCGAGGCCGATTAGCGCGCGTCGGTTTGCCGCCAGCTGCACGAGCGCCGCGCCCCGCAAGACCAATTAACATCCGAGACCCACCAGCCAGTTGGGCGTAGGTGGTCTAAGGAGCTTCCTCTTCCAACCCCCTTCTCCCCCTTTTCGCCCCTTCCCCTAGACCTTGACGGGGGGGCTCCGCGGGTAGTTGGAACATCCAAGATGGCCCAATACGGTTCCAAGAGGACCTCGGACAGGCCAAAATAACCTCCAAGACGCCTCAAGATAACGCAAGCTCGCTCATCAAAACGGTTCCCGAAATGCCCCAAGAGGCCCCAAGAGCGATCCAACACGGTTCCATGTGACCAACGATCTCCCCAAGGAGGCCCCGGAGAGGCCAAGATGCTTCCAACACCTGAACAAAATCCCACCAGCCCTTTGGGTGTAAGTTGTCGTTCCTCTTCAACCCCTCCCTCTTCCCCTTCGGGGAGGGGCTTATCCTTTCTTATGATTAAACGCCCCCCACCTAGCCGGCCGATAGCAACCCCGCCGTCCTAACTGTCAACGAACAACGCAAACTCAACTGATTCCTCGCCAACATGTCGTCGAGCTGCGAAAAGTGTAGCATGAATGGGACGGAGTGAACATCGCTTGGATAACCCTACGCGGGTGGTCGCGTCCTACCCATCAGGAAAACAATACAAAATCAACATTTTTCTCGCCAGTCAACATGGTCTTTCTTGTCGTCGACGCTGCGAAAAGTGTAGCAGGAATGGGGCGCGGCGCACATCGCGCGCGGACGCCTGGCCAACCTTACGCGGGACCCCCCGTCCTACCTGCCAAAAAACACAGCAATTCCTCATCGGGGCTGCGAATCGCTCAGGAGGCGCCTGCTCGTCAACATGGACTTTCTTGTCGTCGACGCTGCGGCCCGCCGGGTTGAGGAGCTGGGCAGGCGGCAAGTCAGAATGCCTCAAGCAAGTGCGGTTCAAGCAAGTGCCCCAGGAGACCCCCAAGGGCTCGAACAAATGCGACCAGGAGGTCTTGGGGGGCAACACAAATATAGATTTTTACCTAACAGCGAAAACTAATAGCTTTCTAGTAGGGTCAAAAAAGAGCACCATGACGCCCCAGGGGGGTCTGGGCGCGAACCGGGAGAGGATGCCGGGGATTTTTTTTGCCAGCAGTTACACACTTCGTGGTCTTCGAGGTCCCAGAACTCCATTCCCAGGCCACATTCTGAATGCCCGGAGCCAACTTTAGGCCACTTTGTGGTCTTCGAGTTCCCAGAACTCCATTCCCGGGCCACATTTTGAATGCCCGGAGCCAACTGTAAGCCACTTCGTGCTCTTCGAGTTCCCAAAACTCCACTCCCGGGCCACATTTTGAATGCCCGGAGCCAACTGTAAGGCCACTTCGTGGTCTTCGAGTTCCCAGAAGTCCATTCCTGGGCATGATTTTGAATGCCCGGAGCCAACTGTAGGCCACTTCGTGGTCTTCGAGTTCCCAGAACTCCACTCCTGGGCATGATTTTGAATGCCCGGAGCCAACTGTAGGCCACTTCGTGGTCTTCGAGTTCCCAGAACTCAATTCCTGCGCATGATTTCGAATGCCCGGAGCCAACTGCAGGCCATTCGTGTTCTTCGAGTTCCCAGAACTCCATTCCCGGGCCACATTTTGAATGATGAGGCAGGCTGAGGCTGAGGCTGAGGCAGGCTGAGGCTGAGGCAGGCTGAGGCTGAGGCCGAGGCTGAAGGCAGACTGAGGCTGAGGCTGAAGCAGGCTGAGGCTGAGGCTGAGGCAGGCTGAGGCTGAGGCTGAGGCAGGCTGATGCTGAGGCAGGCTGAGGCTGAGGCTGAGGCTGATGCAGGCTGAGGCTGAGGCAGGCTGAGGCTGAGGCCGAGGCTGAAGGCAGACTGAGGCTGAGGCTGAAGCAGGCTGAGGCTGAGGCTGAGGCTGAGGCTGAGGCTGAGGCAGGCTGAGGCTGAGGCAGGCTGAGGCTGAGGCTGAGGCTGAGGCAGGCTGAGGCTGAGGCAGGCTGAGGCTGAGGCCGAGGCTGAAGGCAGACTGAGGCTGAGGAAGCTGAGGCTGAGGCTGAGGCAGGCTGAGGCTGAGGCTGAGGCAGGCTGATGCTGAGGCAGGCTGAGGCTGAGGCTGAGGCTGATGCTGAGGCTGAGGCTGAGGCTGAGGAGGCTGAAGCAGGCTGAGGCTGAGGCTGAGGCAGGCTGAGGCTGAGGCTGAGGCAGGCTGATGCTGAGGCAGGCTGAGGCTGAGGCTGAGGCTGAGGCTGATGCAGGCTGAGACTGAGGGCTGAGGCTGAGGCCGAGGCTGAAGGCAGACTGAGCTGAGGCTGAAGCAGGCTGAGGCTGAGGCTGAGGCAGGCTGAGGCTGAGGCTGAGGCAGGCTGATGCTGAGGCAGGCTGAGGCTGAGGCTGAGGCTGATGCAGGCTGAGGCTGAGGCAGGCTGAGGCTGAGGCCGAGGCTGAAGGCAGACTGATGCTGAGGCTGAGGCAGGCTGAGGCTGAGGCTGAGGCAGGCTGAGGCTGAGGCTGAGGCAGGCTGAGGCTGAGGCTGTGACTGCGACTGCCGTTGCCACTGCAACTGTCATCGCGAATGCGACTGCGACTGCCAGAACAGCAGAATTCTACAACTGGATTCTGATCTGAAGGTGTTTGAAGGGTTAGCACCTACTTGTGTTGGCAATGTTCTAAGCCGGAAAGTATATCCAAAAGGCCCTCAGGCGCATGCCAGAAAGCTCCTAGGACGCCCCGCTAATTCCCAAGAGGCATTCTCCTCTTCCCCCTCAGTTTCTCCCTCTCTCCCTCTCTCCCTCCCCTCCTCCTCCTCCTCCTCCTCCTCCTCCTCCTCCTCCTCCTCCTCCTCCTCTTCCTCCTCCTCCTCCTCCTCCTCCTCCTCCTCCTCCTCCTCCTCCTCCTCCTCCCCCTCCTCCATGCGCGGCAGGAGCGAAACGATTGGCGGTGCAACGCGCGTGGCTGGAATGAGACGCGGCGCACTTCGCGCGCTGGATCGCCGACGATGCAACATGAGAGGCCGGAGCGGGGCGCGGCGTACATTGCTCGCGGTCTTGTTTCTCGTCGGCGTTGCTCAATACGCGGCCGGAACGGGACGCAGCTCATGTCGCGCGCTGCACCTCTAGCCGCCCACGATACAAGATGAGCGACAGGCGTCGGACGCGACGCACTTACTGCTTATGTTGTGGGAGGGCGGGTGGGAGTGGACGGAGCCTTCTGGCTCGTTCGAGCTAGCTAACTTGACTCCCCCTACCCCCTACCCCTGGACCTGGACGGGGCGTTTCGCGAGCGGTCGGGGCGTCCAAGATGGCCCAATATGGCTCCAAGAGGGCCTCGGAGAGCCCAAGACGACCTCCAAGATGGATCAAGATAGCGCAAGATCGCTCATCAAGATGGCTCCCAAGATGCTCCAAGAGGCCCAAATAATGCTCCAAGCCGTCTCCAAGAAGCCTCCGAGACCTCCAAGGAAGCCCCGTAGATGCCAAAATCTGTCCAAAACCTGAGGGAATCATGTTTTTGCTTTCTCGACTTTCCGCTTCCAAGGCCATCCGAGGCCTCAAGATGGCCCCAACATGGTCCAAGAGGGCTCCAAGAGGCCCAAGAAAGCTCCAAGACGGCCCCAAGAGCGCCCAAGAGCGCCCTAAGAGGCGATATTTGGGGCTCCCGAGGGGCGAGGCTAATTGAAGCTCCTCTCTTGTTTGATCGATGTCCTCCAAGATGCCCCCAAGAGCGCCCCTCAAGCACCCAAGAGCGCCCCAAGAGGACCCCAGGAGGCGTCCAGACTGCCCCAAGAGGCGCCCAAGAGGCCTCCGAGAGGCTCCCACGAGACCCCCAAGAAGCCTCAAGAGGACTTCCGAAAGGCACTTGATAAGCTTCTGGCTCTTCGGTTCGCCGTCCTCCTCTTCCTCATCCAGCTCCTCCTCTTCCTCCCTCCTCCCCCTCCACCTCCTCCTCCCCTCCTCCTCCTCCTCCTCCTCCTTCTCCTCCTTTTCCTCCTTCTCCTCCTTCTCCTCCTTCTCCTCCCTCTCATCCTTCTCGTCCACCTCGTCCTCGCCCTACTCAATCTCCTCCTCCTCCTCATTTTCCTCATTCTCCTCCTCCTCCGACGACGACAAAGACTCCTCCTCCATCCTCCCCATCTAGGGATCTATGAGAGATTCCCCCGCCCTTTGTTCTTCTGCATGCTCCCCCGCTTCCCTGATCATCTCAACTCCCCTGGGCATCGTTTCTGGATGGGCTGGTGGGGATACTTTTTAGTCAGCGGCCGCAGGCGAGAGCGCCAGCGGCGTGTCCAGTCAGAGCGGGCCGCGCAAAGACGAATTAACCTAAAGCGGTGGGCCGGAGCCTCACGCAGCACCTCGGCGGGAAGGGCGGCGAGTGGAGGGGGGCTGGCTGCAACTGCTGGGAAGCTGCACTGCCAGGGTGCACGCATGCAACGCGCTGCAAGGATGGGCTGGCTGCCAGGGTGGTCGGCAGCCAGGGTCTGCAAGCTGCGAGTGAATTGTATGCGGGGGCGTAGGCACCCACGGAACTGCAAGAGTACCAGGGTGGCCGGAGCCAAGTGGACCGACTGCCACGAGACGAATTGTGAGCTGCAGGGTACCCGGGTGGCCGAAGCCAGGTGGACCGACAGCCACGAACCGCATTGAATGTGTGTGAATTGAGCAGCAGAAGGCTGGTGGGGATACGCGAAACGTCAACAATTAATGTTGTTTCCTTTGCTCGCCTTCTCTCCAAGATGGCCTCATAGGGCCCCAAGAGAAGCTCAAAAAGCCCCAGGACGATCCCAAGAGAGCTCATAGCGCTCCAAGTGCGCCCCGAGTGCGCCCCCAGAGGCGATTGTTCGGGCTCCTGAGGGGGGAGGCTGATTGAAGCTCCCCTCTTGTTTGATCGATGTCCTCCAAGATGGCCTCAAGAGCGCCCCTCAAGCACCCAAGAGCGCCCCAAGAAGGCCCCTAGAGACGCCCAGACGGCCCGAAGAGGCGCCTAAGAGGCCTCCAGGAGGCTCCCAAGAGACCCCAAAAAAACCTCAAGAGGATCCCCGAGGCACGCAAGACGCTCAAAGACGGCCCTGCAGCTCGCCAAGAGGCCCCCCAAACGCCCCCCAGACGCATGGCAAGTCGCGACCTGTTGATGGTACGCAACATGTGGTACGCGACCTTATGTCTCGTGGTATACGATCCGTGGTGCGCGACTTGCCCGTGATGGTACGCGACCTGTGGTACGCGACCTTACCGAGTTGCACGTTGGCCGCCTAGGTCGAAGAAGGAATTGGCAGGAGAGCTAGGACGAGGCGCCCAAGGGACCCCGACGAGCACCCAAGAGACCCCAATATATCCCAAATATGTTTAGAAGGGGCCCCCCGAAATGCCCCAATAAGCTTCCACAGTGCATCCAATACGCCCCAGGTGTTTCTCGGAACCGCCACAACGATCCCACAACGATCCAAGGAACATAAAAGCGCGCAAGAGATATCCTGGGAGACGCCAGGAGGCATCCAAGAAGTGTATAATCATTATGCTCGCCCTCCCCCTTCTCCTCCTCCTATTCCTTCTCCTCCCCCTCCTCCTGCTCCTCCTCATCACCAAATTGATCATCCTTCTCTCCCCTCCATCATCCATCCTCCTCCTCCTCCCTCCAGCGATGACGGCTGCCCCCCTGTTTGCTCTTACACTTCCCTGATCGTCTCAACTTGCCTGGGCGTCGGTTTTGAAAGGGCTGGTGGGGATACTTCTTAGTCAGCGGCCGCAGGCGAGCGCGCCAGCGGCGAGTCCAGTCAGAGCGGGGCGCGCAAAGACGAAAAAACCTAAGCGGTGGGCCGAAGCCTCACGCAGCACCTCAGCGGCCAGGCCGGCGAGTGGGAAGGGGCTGACAGCAACTGCTGAAGAGTTGCACTGCCAGTGTGCACGCGTGCAACGCGCTGCAAGGAGGGGCTGGCTGCCAGGGTGAACTGGTGGGGATATTTTTTCCTCGCGGGCGCGAACGGACGCGCAGGCGCCGAGTCGAAAGGTCCGGGCCACGGGCCGATCTAATTGGCAACGCGCAAGCCGAGAAACGCAGCGACCGGGCCCGAAATCAGAACCTACCGCCGGCGGGGCAGCTGGCTGAGGCTGAGCTGGCTGGACTGACTGCAGACGGCCAGGGTAGCAGATGCAAACGTGCGGGTGAATTAGGTCGTGCACGCCAGGAGATGTCGTGACCTGTTCTGTATCTACAGACCAGGCGTCGGCCAAGCGAGGCAGTGCCAACATACGGACAGGCCCGGGACGGCGGCCGACCAGGAGCAGGGTCCGAGAGGTGCAATCGCGCTCGAACTCCAGAGGGGTACCGTGGGACCTGGTGGGGATACTTTTTTGGTCGGCGGCTCCGAGGCGGCGGACAGGGAGCGGTAGGCGTCGTCTGGGCCAGCAGGCGAAGCTAATTAGCTACAACAGGCAATGCACCTGCTGTAAAAATCCGCAAGAAAGCGAGTATGCACATGCAGTAAGCAGAATGCTCGATTAAACGCTGCGGAAGAATCGCCCTGTCGGCCAGTCCGCGCAGCCAACCTAGCCGATTAGACAGGTAGGACCGAAGCGACACGCTGAAGGCTGAACCACTCAGCGCGAGGTACCATCGCCGTACGCGGGGTAGGCAAAGACAGGGCAGATCTGGTGGGGATACTCGAAGCGTCAAACATAGATTCTCTCTTCCCGGGGTCTGTCTTTTTCCTCTGGTGTCTCCTCCTCCTCCTCCTTCTCCTCCTCCGCGTCCTCCTCCTCCTCCTTCTCCTCCTCCTTCTCTGTTTCTTTGTGTGCCACTGGGCTTCGCCGGCCGGTCAACAAGTGTACAGCAGGTTCGCGTGGAGTCGTGTCGACCCTGGCGTTGGTTCCTGACACAGCGGGTATCATACATCCTTGAACGATCGGCCATTTCCGAATTGTCAGATCGTTCAACATCGACCGACTCTTGGTCGCTGGCGGTGCCCAACGTTGAACGGTCAACATCGACCAACTCTGGGTCGCTGGCGGTGCCCAACGTTGAACGCCGGCGGCGGGGTCGCCGTTGGTCGACACTACGCGAACCCTCCGTGACGAAGGGGCAGGCCCAGGTTTTGCCCTCAGCACCTCGGCGGGGAGGTGGAGGACCTCGCGGAGGTACTCGATGCCCTCGTTGGTGAGGAAGTAGTAGTGCCTCGCGTTGGGCGGGGGGGGGAGGGGGGCTGCCGTTACAGGGGAGCGCAGGGCACGTTTTGCGCTCGCGCGCGCGGGGGAGGGATGTCCCAGGTGTGAGAGAGGGAGGTCGCGGCCTCCTCCCTCTCCTGCTGCTGCTGCTGCTCCTCGGGCTCCTCCTGCTCGCCTTTGGCCCGTCCTGCAGCCCTTTCTTGGTCTCTTCCCCCGTCCTCGTCGTCGTCCTCCCCTCCCGATCCTTCTCATCCTACGATGCATCCTCCGTTGTGTAACCCGTGGGCCGTAAATTCGCCGGCCCAACGGGCCACAGGCGTGCTAAGATCTTCGGTAACTGGTTTACAATATTCTAGTTCGCGCGCGCTGAGCGGCCCCTGGGGCCCCCCGGACGAAAAGTACCCCGGCAAGGTCCCGGGAGACGCCACCAGAGCACTCCAGGGGAGGGCCATTTTTCGACACCCCTCACGAGGATCGTAGCCTCCGAGGGGGGAGCCGCAATCGACTAACCCCCCTCCTGGCCCAAGAGGCCCCCAAAAGCCCCCCAAGAGGCCCTGGGGGCCCCCAAGACGCCGCCAAGGAGCCCCAAGAGACTCCCAAGAAGTCTCCAAGAGGCCCCCAAGAGGCCCTAAAGAGGGCTCCAGGGCCGGCGGAATGAGCGAAGCGATTAGATAAGCTCGCAACCCGACTGTGCCCCCAAGCGCATGGCGAGGCGCTTGCCCAACGATGTGGTTCATTCGGCCCATGCACCATGCAAGCACCATGTAAACAAAACGTGCGCAGAATCTGAAACTGGGAAGGCCATTCGGATACCACGCCTTGGGCACTAAACGATGACTTCACGAAAGGACGCTGATGGAATGTGCCATCGTGCCAGTGTCGGTTTCGCCTTCTGGGAAGGCATCGTGCCTGTCGCGCACTGGGATCATCCAGAATGGCGGCGTCAAATTGCTGCATCCGTGTAAGGACTCGTTCGGCTTACGATGCACTGGCGCTGTTCACGGGACGCCTAAAAACTTGGCAACACTCCCTGTTGAGGCACGGCACCAGCATGCGGCGTTGCTGAGGAATGTTTGCGATGACCCCGATCCCCGATGTCATGATTTCTCCAATCCCTCCTGTGTCTCGTTTTGAATCAAGCATGGTGGTCTCCACCTCCTCCTCCTCCTCCTCCTCCTCATCCTCCTCGTCCTCCTCCTCCACCTCCTCTCCCGCCTCCCCTCTTCTCCTGCATCCTCCTGCGCTGCTCCCTGGGCGACTATGAATTGCGCAACTGTCGCCACTTTCGTGGGCTCCTGGGAGGTCCAGCAGAGTCGGGGGCCACGCGCACTGAGACGAGACTTCGCTACTCTTTGGGGGGGTGCTAACTGTGCACTTGTCGCCACTTTCGTGGGCTCCTGGAGAGGTCCAGTGGAGTCAGGGGCCACGCGCACCCAGACGAGGCATCGCTGCTCCCTGGGTGGCTGCGAACTGCGCAGCTGTCGCCACTTTCGCGTGCTCTCGGGAGGTCCAGCGGAGTCGGGGGCCACGCGCACCCAGACGATGCATCGCTGCTCCCTGAGTGGCTGCGAAGTGCGCAACTGTCGCCACTTTCGGGGGCTCCTGAGAGGTCCAGCGGAGTCCAGAGCCACGCGCACCCAGACGGAGACCTCGCTGCTCCCTGGGTGGCTGCGAACTACGCAACTGTGCCAACCGGAGTCGGGGGGCACGCGCGCCCACAGGAGGCCTCGCGGCTCCCGTTGAGGCTGCCAACTGCACAATTGTCGGTATCGTCGTGCACAGTGTGTTCCTTTGTAAAGAGGATTCCTTTTCATAGTCGCCTTGCGTGAGGCAGGTGCTGGGCACGTCTCGGGTAATTTCGCAACGAGATACCCCAAACGTCTTGACACCTTTCCTGGAGGACAGCCTTTTTATCCTGAGTAGTCCATGACAGCCCTGGGGCTGTCAAGAGGGCCCCCGAGGGCTGAATATGGCAGACAACCTTCCGCCGCGCAATTTCTTCTCGACGCTCGATCAGCGTAAGACATTGAGGCGGCGGCGATCAATGCGATCGCGCAAGTTGCGCGGTCGTCGGCATCGGCCCGTCTTGCACCGCACGTGCTGCGGACGGTTCACGCCCGTGCGGGCCGGGGCGGGCTGTGCTGCAAGCTGTGCTGCGCGGGGCCCGGAGGAGTTGCAAGAAGCCCAGAGAATGGGACGCACAAAGACATACTAATACTATATGTTCTCCTTGGAGGCGCGCGTCCGGCCAAAACATATAGTATACCCATCTTGTAGTACATCGTTTCCCGAGCGGTGTGGCCAGAAAGCGCCTGCCACGACGCATAAACTATGAGATGCCTCGGTGCGCGCGTCGCCCCTTGGGGGGGCGACGCACATACAGTATAAGTATGTTGGGGTGATGCCGAAGAGAACGCTAAATCCACTCACAAAACAAAAGCTGCAGCACGACAGTTGTGGCGCAAGCCTTGCTGGATGTTAACGAGAGTGTGCCATACCTGTGGCCCCCTTGCCTACCCCGCAGCTTCAGTTTCAGCTCTCGCGCCGCCCGCAATGCGCCACGCCTGCCCAGAGCGAGGCACGTTTGCCGCGCGATATGGGCCGCAAAAGAGGGGCGCGCGAGGAGGGGAGGAGGGGAGAGGTCGGGTTTGGGGATAGCGTCGCCTGTAGAGAGCGAGGCAGGAGGGGATGAGGAAGAGAAGAAGGGCGATACGAAGGGGCAGGAAGGGGAAGAGGAGGTCACGTGAGAAGGTGCAGCTACGGCAATGTTAGGAGACGTGCTGGCAGGATGGATACGGGGAGGGAGAAACGGGGAAGTGACTAGGACTCAGAGCGAGAAGGGCGTGGGAAGGACCAGTGATGAGGAGGGCGAGAACCGAGGAATTGCCAGCGCAAAGCACCTGGAGTCTCCTGTCTGCAGATGACACCACACGCGTGAACGTACAATGCAAGACTGCGGCGAGAATAACACGTTGAACAAGAAAGTGTGCTTCCAACTTCATGTTCAACACATGATGCTGGCCTCAGAACTGGCTTGCGCTGAATTCGAGCACCTGCCTTTCCCCGCCCTTGCCACAAATAACCAGCTCGCGGCGCCCTGAGGAGACAACTACTCCGTTCTCCTCCTCCTCCTCCTCCTCCTCCTCAAGGTCCTCACTCGAGTTGGGGAGGGGGGTGCCGTGTCGCGGCCCCTGGGATGTTCGTCACCACCCCAGGGTGCACCACAGACCACCCCCTCTTCTCCTCCGACCGGCCCCGGCTCACTCTTTTTTGCCCCCTCGCCCCCCCCTTCCCCACCCTCCCCCGCCTCGGCCCCTGCAGGGGCGGCCAACCTCCCCGTGCAGACTCCGCGCCTCGGCCCCGAGCGCGCAGGCAGGCTGGCGGTGCGAGGGCCTCCGAGCAGACGACTGCCCGGGATCCGAGGCCTGCGCATCGGCTCGCTCGGCCCCGGGAGGAGGCGGGCTGCCGCGCCAGGACCCCCAGCCGGGGCACGAGGAGGACCAGACGTGGCCCCCCGGAGGTCTGGACCCCCTTCCAGGGCATCAGTTCGGCATTTGATCCCGACTCGTTTTGCTTGGCGGCCCTGGGGCCCAGCAGGGGCCCCTGGGAGGCCGAAGCCTGCCCCAAACCTCCCGTCGCGATTACTCCACGACGCCGAGAGCGAGGACGAGGAGGGGGACGGACCAAAAGGAGGTGCGCGAGGGCGGAGAGGGAGCGGCAGGTGATCATCAAGAAGAAGAGAAGAGAAAGGAGTGGCGAGCCCGAGAATCTGGCAGGAGAGAGCAGACGAAGGAGGAGGAGGAGGAGGAGGAGGAGCAGGAGCAGGAGGACAGGAGGAGGAGGAGGAGGTAGGGTCGAGGGGGGGAGGGGGGAGAGGGGGGGAAAGACTGATGATGATGATGATGATGATGATGATGATGATGATGATGATGATGATACTGATACTGATGGTGATGATGACGACGACGATGACGATGATGAGGATGATGATGATGATGATGATGATGATAATGATGGCTATGATGTTGACTATGCTGATGATGCTGATCATGAACATGACGATGCCGCTGCTGGTGATGATGATGGTGGTGACGATGACGATGACGATGCTGACTATGATGATGATAATGATGACGATGATGATGATGATGATGATGGTGATGATGATGATGATCATGATGATGATCATGATGATGGTAAGGATAGTGATGATGCTGATGGTGATGATGATGCTGACGATGATGGTGACGATGACGACGATGACAATGACGAGGATACGTATGATGATGATGGTGATGATGATGCTGCTGCTGGAGATGATGTGGATGAGGATGAGGAGGATGATGCCGACGATGGCGATGATAATGATGCTGCTGCTGATGATGATGAGGAGGAGGCGGAGTAGGAGCATGATGATGCTGCTGCTGATGATGATGGTGATGATGATGATGATGCCGATGATGATGATGATGATGATGATGACGATGATGCTGATGCTGATGCTGATGATGATGATGATGATGATGATGATGATGATGATGATGATGATGATGATGATGATGTTCAGCACTCGGCGGACGGCGTGCGACGATGACAGCCATCGCTGCGCTGGCGATCGAACTTATTGCGCCCCTAGGCAAGCATACGCACAACCCTGGGGGTTGTCGAAAGAGCACGAAGACGGCTGGACAGTGCCTGTACCCCGATGCTTGCAGGAACGTGTTGCCTCACCCAGAGGCTGTTAAAGGAACAAACGAGAATGTTCCAAGGCAATTGCGACAGAGCAGGGGCGAGGCTTGGCACGATTGGGCAGATCGACAAGTAACAGAGCAGACAGAGAACGCAGCGGATGAACATAGGATGAACTACTGGGCAGCTGTCATCATGTAAGACCGAATCACCTCCCACGGCGTGACATCCGAAACGACAAATCTTAGCGATCTTGACGGTAGCGACGAGAGATTGGCATGATGATGACGATGACGATGGCGATGACGATGCTGGTGCTGACGCTGATAATGATGGTGATGATGTTGCTGCTGCAACTGCTGATGATGATGATGATGATGCTGATGCTGATGCTGATGCTGATGCTGATGATGATGATGATGATGATGATGATGATGATGATGATGATGATGATGATGATGAGTGCAGGAGGCGACACTTGAGGAGAAGAAGGATGGGGGGAGGTGGAGGGCAGGGGATAGGAGCAGACCGAGCAAGGACCAGCAGCAGCAGCAGCAGAAACCGCACGCGTTCGTCAGTGCAGCGCAGCGGCCGCGGGCGCCGCTCAGCTGTGGCGCGGCGTGCGGGGCGGCCTCCCAAAGCCGTCACTCCACGCGCCACCACCAGACGCCGTCGGCCCCGACGTTGATCGGGCCGCCTCCGCGCAGGAGGCGCCCCTCCAGGACCGCGCCCAGCAGTGGAGGGTGGGCGCAGGTGAAGTCGTGACCTGCCAGGATGCCCCCCGGCCGCACGCGCGGGTGCCACAGCTCGATGTCCCTCCTGACGTTCAAGTAGGTGTGGGGCCCATCGACGAACACCAGGTCGAATTGCTCCCCAGGGGACAGGCTGTTCTCCAGCTCCTCGCTCGTGGTGGCGTGAAGTGCCGCGCGGCTGCCGAACCGGCGATAGGCCTCCCAGACCAGAGGTGTGATCGTCGGATCCGCCCCGATGTACTCGAGATCCGGGAAACGGAGCAGGAGGTGCATGCCCACTGCTCCGCAGGCAACGCCCATTTCGGCCATGCGGAGCGAGGGCTTCGAACTGCCTTCTCGCAGGGATAGCACCAGCCGCTCCAGCACGTCCAGGTGGCGGCCGTAGACCGCGGTGGAGAACGTTACCACCGGCAGGGACCACTGCGCCTCGCCGACTGCACTCCGGAGGCCCCAAGCGAGCCGCAGGTGCTCCATCATCTGCCGATTGATCCTCGCCAGCGCCAGCGCGACCGAGGCCAGGGCGCGGTACGCCAGCAGGCCCTCAGCCAGCAGGCCCTCGGCCGGCGCCCACTCCGCGACGGCTCCCCCGGAGCCGCCGACGTCTTCGAGCGCCTCGAGGGCGCGCGCGGTGTACTCCGCCAGGATCGCCGCGGTCTCGTTGCCCAGAGGCGCGGCGAACTCCGAGGCGGCGGGCCTGCGGCGGCGGGCAGCACGCCAGGATGCGATGTCGCCACCGCCCAGCAGGCCCGCGCTGGCTGCCGCGGCCGCCGCGCCCACGGCGCCCGCTCCGCAGCGGGCCTCGAAGCTGCCGCGGGCGGCGGGGCCCGGATCGCGCCTGGAGCAAGACGAGGCCGCCTCCAGGGCGCCCGCGAGCGCCCGCATCGCGGCCTCCTGCAGCCCGGAGCACCGCGCAACCCCGGCTCGCACTGCCGCGGCGGCCCCTGGAAAGTTCAGTTGCGCCGCCCCGCCGGCGAGGGCGGCCAGGCTCCAGAACTCCCTGCTCAGGCTCAGCGGGAAGAGCTCCTCAGGCCGGCACACCTCCGGAGCGCCTACGAAGGCGAGCAGCTCCTCCACGCCAGCGCGGGAGGCGTCGAGGTGCGACCGGGCGGCCGCCATCGGGGCCCGCGGCAGCTCCTCGATGAGCTGGTGGCACTCCATGCAGTTGCCGAGGCAGTGGCCGCGCCCCTCGTGGCTGCCCGGCGCGGCGGCCAGGACTGTGAGGAGCGCCAGCGCGCACACTCCGCCCCCGAGCCACGCGCGGGCAGCCATGATCGCACCCGGCAGCTCGCCCCCCTTGGCCCGGGTGGCGGATCGGAACTCAAGGGGCTCGAGCCTGTGCGATGCCGGAAGCCCTCCACCCAAACATGTTGACGCCTCGCATACACCTCCGCCGAGCTTCCGCCGGCAGAGCCGCCCTCGCTCCACTCCCGCGGGCTTCTCCCACCCCTGCCGCCACGCCGAGGGTGCGGATGCGCCGAGGGCGAGGCCCTCTCGGGAGCGGCGCCGACTGGCCAATGCCCGCAGCATCAGGACGCGTTGGCATGGAGGGGGAGACCACGCATCCGACGGCTCAGGGCATGGCCCGCGTGACCTCTCGATCCCTTCCCTGGGGGCTGGCTTGGCAACCGGGCGTCGCGAACGGAGGGGACATTAAAAAGGGGGATGAAGAAACGTTCGCCTTTCCCGCACCTCTGGGGCCCGCTGCTGCAATTTCGGCGCCATGCAGGACCACTTCTGGGCCACCCTCGTGCAACCCGTGATCCCCTCCGCTGATTCCAACCCCCGCTACTGATTGTCAATCATCCTGAGTGGTTTTCCCCTCCCAGGGATCGAATGAGGCGGGCTCAACATGCCCAAAATGTATAAACATAATTGACGTCGCGACCCTCCCTGCAAAAATGCCCCCTGGCCCCTGACCAGGGACACTCAAGGCGGATCCCCCTGGGGGCCTTCTTGAAACATGTCTGGGCGACCCTCGGGGGCTGACTGTGACCTTTGCGCAGCCCTGAAGCTTCCCTGGCACCCTCGCCTCGTGAACAAAATCACTACGGACCGCGTTTGTAGATTTCGGCCTCTGGGGGTCCTTACTGGGCCCCAGGACCGTCAAACAACTACATACTCTGTGCAAAAAGATGTTCCCTGGTAAGGGATCCACACATCTGGGGAGCCCCAACACGATTACATCACGACTGTCGGGGGCTCTCTGCGCAGCCCTGAGCCCTGCTGGTTCAAACGCATTGCTTGCCAACCAGATGTTTTGGTGATCCGGGGCGCCACTGCCAGTTGAACTTCTCCGAGAGGTAGCTGCGGGAGGCCAGGGACCTCAGGACCATCATGACGTGCAGGTTTGGGATGTCCTCGAGCTCGTTGTGCTTGCAGGCGCTGGGGTCGTGCTTGACGCACATAACCCCCTCCTTGAACAGGTGCTCCAAGATGATCTTGCGGTTCTTCTTCGAAATAAGCACCATGTCTGCCGCAAGAGCTTATAGGAGGACGCTTCAACTTGACTGGCGCACGGGATCCGAAGGCCTATGAACCAAGGATTTGCCGCGGGATGGTGATCAACTGCTAGGGTTCGCTTCGACACTGCGCTTGGACTTGTGACGTGCAAACCGTTCCTTTCTATACCATCAACTCTCCGGGTGTAGGTGGCCGAGCGGATCAGTCCATTCAACACGACTATATAATGATCCGGTGAGCCTCCTTACGGGGGCTGGCCTAGAGTGCTCAAATACTGCGCCGCAGATGGCGGCGGACTTGCCAAAAGAGAGGCCCTAACACCCGCAATTATCAAATACAGCCCCAAGGGGCGATTTCTCCGGCTCTAATAAATATTGATTCCCATAGGGTCGCTGGCCTCCTGGGTGGATCAAAGAGTGCTGTAAAGTGTCCCCAAAGCGGCCGAACAGAATTTCAGGAAGACCACCGAAGACTCTCCAAAGATCCTGAGAGAGAGGCTTCTCAGACGGGCCCAGAATTTCCGAAGTCGGCGATGCCTGACCAGTTTCGGATCCAGTGTGATGGTGATACTGATGGCCGAGCCCAAATTTCTGTCCAGGTCCACATGCGAGTGTGAGACCTGGCCTGGTGTGGTGGAGACATGATGAGCATGCCCTTATGCGTGTACCTGAGAAGCCCATTTGGCCAGACCCAACTCAAATGTGGAGCTGGGCTCTGAACTGCTGGAGCGGTGACAATCCCGTGGGCCTGTCTTCCCTTCTGGATCTGGGAAGCCCTGAACGGCCAAACTCTAAACGGGAGCACTTCGAAGATATGTTGTTGGCCCCACCACCCACTGATTGGAAATGTCTGGTGAACGGATCCAGGCCGGGCCGCGGAACTCGCCCCTGTGCGGCACAGCAGCGTGCTGGGTGTGATTGTCAAGTGCGGTCGTCACTCTGCTAACACGCACCAGCGAGACACTGGCCAGATCTCACATTCAGGCAGAAGAGCTGGGTTCGGGAACGCTGACATTGTGAGAAGCGACTGGCGACTGCCGTACGACATTCCCTGGTCGTGGGATCTTCCACCTGGCTGCATTCAGATGAGAGGCTGTGTTCTGGCCGACGGAAGCGGTCAGAATCAGCGGATGGATCTGTTCGATGGGTCGTGGCCAGACCCTGGGAGGATCGAGGGGGTCTCGCGGACTGAGCTGGGGCAGGCCGCGCAACAAGTTTCCGAGGGGGCATCGCAGCGATCCTACCTCATCTCTGCTGAAGCCCACTGGCCACATATTGGTCATACAATGGGCACCACGAGAATCCGCCTGACAACGAGGCGGCTTGAGGCACATTCGTCGTCGATCTTTGGGGATGCGAGGGTTCCCTGGAGCTTCTGCGGGCCCTTGGGATCATCGGGGGGGGGGGGGGCACCTGCTGGCGGGACGAGTTCTTCTTGGACGCGCCTACTGCATTCGGGCTGGCTGGGGCTGTGGGAAGATGGAAGTGGCCTGCCGACACGTCCTGGGCGTGGGACAACCTGACGGGCCTATATCACCTTTCAGCTGCAGCTCCTCTTCCTTCCGCTCGTGTTCCTCATCAGGATCGCAATCTGCCACTGCCTCCTGCTCCTGTGTATCCTGCTTCTCCTGCCATTCTTCGTTATCACTCTCGACGTCTGTCTCGTCTCCCTCCTCCTCGCCCTCCAATCAAAGCCTTCGCATCAGGATCGACAACCACCTCCTCCTCCTCCTCCGCCACCTCCTCCTCATCTCCCTTTTCCTGCATAGCTGTCTTACCTCCTTACCATCATCCGTGTCCTGCGTCTCATCCTCACCATTTCTCATCCTATAACTCCTGTTCGTTATCGTCCCCCTCCCGCTCCTACTCATCCGCATGATGACCCTCACCCCCGTCATCCTTTTACTCCCACTCCACACATGGTTCTCCCTCTCTTGGTCCTCGTCATTATCCGCCTCTTCTTCCTGATGCGTCGCTTTCTCCTGCTACTACTCCTTTCAAGTCTGCTGCAATTGCTGGAACTCTGTACCTCCCGCGCTCCCCTGCTCCTGGTGTTCCTTCTACGCATCCTTCACATATCCCTCCTTCTTCCAATTCTCAGGCACCGCTCCACATGGACCTCAACATACTCGCCTACAAAACTATTGTCACCTTTTTAGCGTTACTGTAGAAATGCACCTCGAAAGCCTAGCGTCAAAATGCCAATTCGCAGCACTGTGTAAACACAGTGCGGTGATACCACTCGCGCTCTCGAATGGAGCGGCGAGGATTCTACTAGATTGCGCAACCAAAGAAGGCGGAGAGGAGTGGGAAGCAGCAGACGTCACTCATGACGACAGGGTGGAGACGACGGACGAGTCATAGAACGAAGATGGTGATGATCAACTATTGTGAACATAGCGCGGAACACGGATGCTCCAACAAACAATCAAATGTGATGGATGAAGCTCGATGTTCCCTAGGTCCTTCCGTGGGTCCTGCCCTGGAGCTTCTCGTGCACATGGGCACAGTTGAAGCAAAAACGGCTCCCGCGCCAAGGTCCCTTACGAGGAAATGTTCACTGCACACGTTCCTTCCGCAAGGCCGCTGCTGCAACGTCCACAAGAGGCTCTGGAGGGGCACCACCAGGGGGAAAGGCTGGGCGCGACGCACCGAAGGCGCACATCTTGATGCCAAACGTCGAACCAGCGCACGGACGACAGAGAGGAGGGAGGGGAGGAAGGCGGGGAGGAGGGAGCAGGAAGGAACCCGACGGCGCAGGGATCCGTTCCCCTCCTAGCACCGCTCGTCGAAAGCATCTTGCCGCTCGCCGCGCCGTACATACCTCTGCCAGGGCGGTGAGGAACGCATGCTGCCTACCACGAACCACGAACCCTTTCCCAAGCAAAAGGTGCTAGCGGCACTGGTGGAGTGGACAGGGCACAGGTTTGCGAATCGTGGCCGCGGTCAGACGAGGCCTCCCTATGGAGGCCAGTGGTACTGGTGTCACTGGTAGAGTGGAAAGGGCCAGAGGGCTGATAAATCAGAAGGTTTACCGAACAGCTTGCGCATAAAGGGCGCGGTATGACGCGGCCTCCCTGGAGGGGCAAACTATAATGGTGGCACCGGCGGAGTGAGAAGGGCCAATGCCATGATGAATCATACGGTTTGCGGAACGATTTGCGCATAGAGTGCGCGATATGACGCGGCCTTCCTGGAGGGGCAAACTTGTACCAATGGCACTGGTAGAACCAGGGTGCAAGAGCCCTAGAAACATGATCGACCCACGAACCCGGAAAGGAATATAGAAATGTAATGCGTTGCAACATTTCAAAGACACCTGATTGGGCGACGGGCACATGCAATGCTGAATGTATCGATGATGATGTACTGTGCCGAGGGCTGTGCTGTGCTACGCCGTGCTGAACTGCGATGTGCCATGCCGCGATTGTGCTCGATATAGCGTTGTGGATCGAGTCCTCCCTGGCATCCGAGTCCTCACCGAACTGATCTGGAGCGTAAGCTCGAGCTGCCTGAGCAGATGGTAGCTGCCCCAGAACTAATCGACAGAGGGAACATGCCAGGAGGACGCGCCGCGGAACGTCCCAAGGGACGCGCCAGGCGACGTGCCAGGGGACGTGCCATGGGCACGCACCGCGGGACGTGCCAAGGGGACGCGCTACGGAACGTGCCAATGGACGTGCCGAGGGACGTGCCAGGGGACGCGCCGCGCGACGTGCCAGGTAGACTCGCCACGGAACGCGCCAAGGAACGTGCCAAGGTGCATAATTGAGTGTATCGATCTTGATGTACCGTGCCGACGGCTGTGCTGTGCTACGCCGTGCTGAACTGCGATGTGCCATGCCGCGAGTGTGCTCTATATAGCGTTGTGGATCGAGTCCTCCCTGGCATCCGAGTCCTCACCGAACTGATCTGGAGCGTAAGCTCGAGCTGCCTGAGCAGATGGTAGCTGCCCCAGAACTAATCGACAGAGGGAACATGCCAAGAGGACGCGCCGCGGAACGTCCCAAGGGACGCGCCAGGCGACGTGCCAGGGGACGTGCCATGGGCACGCACCGCGGGACGTGCCAAGGGGACGCGCTACGGAACGTGCCAATGGACGTGCCGAGGGACGTGCCAGGGGGACTCGCCACTGGACGCTCCGCGGAACGTGCCAGGCAACATGCCAGGCTGCAATGCTAAGGGTATCGATATTGATGTACCGTGCCGAGGGCTGTGCTGTGCCTGGGCGACCTGGACACGTGAAAACACCCGTTTCGCTCAAGACGTTGTCAGCACATCCTCATGCTAGAAATCCGCCTGGGCAACCTGGACACGTGCAAACAAGCGTCTCGCTCGAGACATCCTCAACAAATGCTCATGCTAGACATCCGCCTGGGCGACCTGGACACGTGAAAACAAGCCTCTGGTTCGAGACATCCTCAACAAATCCTCATGCTAGACATCTGTCTGGGCCACCTGGAGGCGTGAAACCAAGCGTCTCGCTCGAGACATCCTCAAGACCTGGGCACGTGAAAACAAGCATTTTACTTCAGAGATCCTCTGAATTCTGGTCCCCAGGAGAAGACAATCTATCACACAAAACAAGCGTTTCGCTCGAGACATCCTCAACAAATTCTGAAAAACTAGCGTTTCGCTCGAGACATCCTCAATTTTTAATTCGCCGGCCCTACGCGACCTCGTTATTTATCGCAAAAGAAATTCGCCGGCCCTACAGCCGTCAAAACCGGGGGGAAACCAACTAAAAGAGAACCCTGGGCCTATGCCCTTTCAGGGAAAATCAGAAGACTTGCGGAACGGTGTGCACATAGCGGGCGCGTACGACGCGGCCTCCCCGGAGAGGGAAGCGGTGATGGTGGCACATGTTGGAGTGAGACGGACACGATATCAGAGAAATGTTCATGTGGTGCTCGTGGTGACGTCTTCGCTTGCCGAATCTTGTTGTCGCAGAGTGAACTGGCAGAACCGCGGCACCGTGGACTTACTCAGAGCATGTCCACATGTTAGCCAGCGTGGACCCCAAACAGTGCGATACTGCACGGTGGAGGGTGCATATCTGTTGTGGAAGCTATGTGATGTAGACTATGTTGTGCAAGCTTTGCGCTGCCAGCTATGTGGTACAAGCTGTACATGTATAAGGTGTGCCGTGTAAGGTATGTTATGTAAGCTGTGTGGTGTGTGCTACACGGTGAGAGCTATGTTGTGGATGCGATATGGTGTGAACATGTGGTGTGAGCTACGATGGGTCATACATGGCGTGTGGGCAACATGGTAGATAACTGCGTGGTGCAAGTTATGAGGTATAAGATATGCTGTGTAAGCTACGTGGTTGGAGCTACGTGGTGCAAAAGATGGGGCAAGTTATTTTGTGCAAGCTATGTGGCGCAAACCATGTTGTGTAAGCGCACGGGGGCGCCCACGGGGGTAAGCTATGTGGTGTAAGCCAGAGCATTTTCTTAGGGTGGAAGGCTCAGGGTAAAATCTATATGGGCTTTTGCAGCTCGAAATTCGATCCGTCTTGCGAGTCACCTTTCGCAGATTCAAACCTCGAAGCGGCATTTCAAGTCTCACCCTCTGCCCTCCACCCAAAGAAAATGCTCGGTGAGCGCACGGGGCGCCCACGGGACGCCTCCGAGCGGGCACAGGCCCCAACGAGGCAAAACCTCGGGAGCCCCACCCAACGCACGGGGCGCCCACGAGCGGGCTCGGGCGCCAACGCGGCGAACCCTCGGGAGACCCACACCCGGCGCACGAGGCGCTCGCGAGACGCACACGAGCGGGCACTGGCGCCAACGCGGCGAAACCCCGGGAAAGCCATCTAGCTGCTGAGAAGAGAGCCAAGCACGGGCCCCAGGTACAAGCACTTGTTTCGGGAAGCAGGAGGCGGAGGAGGAGCGGGGCACCGTCAGGGAAAAGGCCGACCCCACTCGGGAGCTGTGCCTGGGGAGAACAGATGACCACTGAAAACCTCCACATCTCTCTCTGACGCCCTCTCTCTCTCTCGCTTTGTCTCTCTTTTTTTTTTTTCTCTCTCTCTCTCTCTCTCTCTCTTTCTATATATTTATTTATGTAGTTATTGTTTTCTCTCTCTCTCTCTCTCGTTTCATCTGCATGTTATATGTGCACGTCTATACATATGTGTATGCAAGAGTGGGCCCCAAACAGAGATTGCGTGTGGAGATGGAAGTTCAGCGAGGTAAACTGAGTGGAGTTAGCTAAGTTGCGTATGCGATCGGTGTGAGCTACCGTGCTACAACCTATCATGTGTAAGCTGTGCTGTGCGAGCTAGGTTGTGCAAGCTACACGTGGTGTGAGCTATGCTGTGCGAGCTCTGCGTTGTGAGCTATGCGGCGTGAGCCATGCCGTGTAAGCTGTGTTGCCCACCAAGGGCACGGGGCGCCCACGAGGCGCAAACGAGGCGCCCACGGGCGGGCCTCAGGCCAAACTTCGGCGGACACGCCCCGGGCACGTGGCTCCCGCGAGGCGCCCACGGGCGGGCGCCGCAGCGGACCCGACCCACCCCGTGCACGAGGCGCCCGCGAGCGCCCGCGAGGCGCCCCGCGAGCGCCCGCGAGGCGCCCGCGAGCGGACACCGGACAGGCCCCTCGGCGGAGCCGCCGCCCAGGGCGCGGGGCGCCCACGGCCGGGCACCGTGCGCCACCGCGGCGGTCACGCCCAGGACACGGGGCGCCCACGAGGCGCCCAGGGGCGGGCACCAGGCGGAACCTCGGCGGACCCACCCGAGGCACGGGGCGCAGGAGGGGGAGCATGGGAAGAACCGTCGGCGGACCCCCCCCAAACAAAATGCTGAGCCACAGAAGCGAGAATCCCTAAGTGCACAAGCGCTGTGTGGGGAATCAGCAAAATCCGCCGACCCTGTCGGCGTGTGTGAGGGGCTTGTCCGTTCAAGTCGTCATCTCCGTCATTCGTTGGTCTTCGTCTCTGTCGTCCCCTTTCCCTGCCTCTTCCCTTTCCTTGGGCTCGTCGAAGCTCCCCCCTTTCCCAAGCCTCCTCAGCGCGCCAGTCAAAGCAAAGTTGAGCAACGTCGTAATTGAGTCGAAGGGAAGCCCCTTCCCTTCGGTCCCTCCCCCGCCGGGGGGGGGGTCGGGGGGGGTCCCAGGGGGGGGTGGGGGGGTCAGATACGACGCCCGGGTGGGCCCCCCTTGGGAGTCCCAGAGCCCCCCCAAAAAACCCAAGACAGGCCGAGAGTGTCCCAAGAGGCCCCAACGACAGTCCAAGAGAACCCCGAATCGCCGAACGATCTGTCCAAGACGCCTTGACGGCCTCCAGACGGCCCAAGAGGCCTCCAAAGCGCCCCAAGAGGCATCCAGGAGCTTTCCCACGAGAGCCCCAGAGGCAAAATTCATGAATTCCCAATGCGTTTTTGACAGATTTTGGCGTTCTTGCCTCTGACGGCCCAAGAGGCCCCCAAGATCGCCCCGAGACGGCCCAAGATCGCCCCCACGAGGGTCCCCTAAAGGCCGAAGAGGGCCCCAAGACGGCCCAAAACGCCTCCAAGACGGCCCAAGAGGCCCGCAAGACGGCTCCAGGAGAGTGCCCAGACGGGGGACCCGAACGGACATTTCGAGCTCTCAGCCCCAAGATGCCCCCAAGAGGCCCCGAAAAAGCGCCAAAAGGCCCCAAGAGGCTCCCAAGGGGCCCCCAAACTGCCCGAAGACAGCCCAGGAGAGCCCAAAATTGCCCAGGAGGCCTCCAAGAATGCCTCGAGACGGCGCAAGAGGAGCCCTGCACGGCCCAAGACGGCCTCAAGAGAGCCCCAGGCTGTCCCAAGAAAGCCTCTGGCCTCCTCCTCCTCCTCCTCCTCCTCCTCCTCCTCCTCCTCCTCCTCCTCCTCCTCCTCCTCCTCCCCCCCCTCTGCTTGCCCTCCTCCTGCTCTTCTCTGCCTCCTTCTCCTCCTCTTGAGTCTCCTCCACATCCTTCTCCCCCCTCCTCCTCCCTCATCCATCTCCTCCACCCTTTCTCCACCTCCCGCTCATCCTCCTCCCCCTGCCCC